CCAAACAAAGATTTAAGACTTGCTTCAAATCACAAGTTTTAAAAGTCTTCTTTTTTTTTTTAAACTTTGTGTCATGCCAAATGATACCGTATAAATTGTACCGTATAAATTGGGACTGATGAGTAGTATTTTTACTCTGATTTTATTAGAGTCCCACGTCTGTGTGGGATGGGATCATTTGTCTACTTATTGCTATTGTTTTGGTTAATCTTCATTTCATGAGCTAGTTTAATTTGGGTTGAATTAGGTCCAAACTTCACTTATTATCCGGTGCCTGGAATGTTTTTTAAAGGTTCTTCTTCACCAAACTTGAGGCTATTTTATTTCAAGCTTTCACATCCTCGTTTAGATGTCTTAAGTTTCAATGATGAAATTATGAACTCACAATTGTTACATGTTATTTCATCGTTGTTTATGTTCGTTTATCCATTAGATATCCACATCTTACAGTCGTAACCAATTATCAACTAATATCATCAGCCCATTTCATGCTACTCCTCCTAATTAAGTTATTACAATAAATTAAAATGCCCATTATGATCAAGCTGGTGTTTCTGGACAGCACCACATGGTGAATATGTTCTTCACCAATACAAGTTGCTTTCATTCCTTATATTACTGTTGTCTAAACATGTTTGCTCACACTAGCAAGTACCTCTACTTAAGCATGCCATGAATTTTTCTGTGTGGCTATAAAAACATATTGCAAAAGTTAAAATAAAATCAATAATTTATATTATTTCTAAATATATCATTCTTTTTATAACATATTAAGGAAAAATGTCAGCGTGAATGAAAGAGATGTAGTACTTACTGCCAAACATATGTTGAACGATATTTAACTTTATACTATTTTCTTTTAGTTTGCATTCTGAACTATCAGATTACAGCGACTATTTCTGTTTGCAGGTTCCAAAGTATGTTTAACTTGTGTCAAATCAAATAGGATATTTGTTTAATTAATTGGGTGGACTTCAATTACATCTCTCTTCTTATTTATAAAAGTATTTTTTATTAGATATAAGACACTCGTTCGTTTGTCGTTTTGTCACAATTATATTGTGGAATAGTGAGTGGGGTTGTGATAATATAGAGGTCTTTTTGTGTCTCTGATACTCAACACCTCAAAGAATCAAAATTGCCAGCAGTGACTATGCGAGTCTTCTACCAAACGACATAGCCATGCCAGATCTCAGGAAAAGATTGTTTCCCCAGACATATTTTCTTCACTATCTTCATTAGAATACGCATTTGGTTTCCCTCCCTGTTGCTTTATCTAATAATATTTGTGCTTTTATTGTTGGGTTTTCAGAATATTCAGTATCCAGCCCAAAACAAAAAGCATAGACATGGCCCAATTATTTATCTCTTGATAACATTTAGCATTAGTAGCTCTTAATAGTTAGCCCATTCATATTTTCAGTCCATCGGTTATGTAGTTCTCTAACAGGAGAGTTCTAGAACCCCTAATCCTCCATTAACAAACCTTCAATTTGTTCGATTCTTTCATTGTTAACATGGTATTAGAGCGGTGAATCCGTTTGTCCACATCTTCTTCTATCGAGCGGTGTTACCCCATTCGATTTCGTCAAGTTTCCATTTTTGCTGAAGCTTTGTGTTTTTTGGCTGCTGATTTCGGTCAAGGATGCATTTTTTTGGATTTGTCTACATTTTCTCGCAATCGACAGTGCTACAATGCTGGTTTACTCTTGAATTTCTGGTGTTCGTCGAAGTTCTTCTTCAGTCAATGGTTTAGGGTTCTTTTTCGAAATTGTTTGAAGCTCCATCGAAGATATTAATTGCATAACCATGCCTTTAATTCTTCAGGTCGCGAAGAAGGCTGGTATTCCTATCACTTATCCGTATTGTTACATACAAATTGTTCGTTCGTATCTTGTGGTTATTGATAATTGTTGACAATCGTTTGCTGGGTCAAAGTTTCTTACTTGAATCGTTGTGTGACTACATTGTGCTTTGTTATCATGACTGGTACTACTGATTCATCTACCAGTATTGGTGGATCTTCTAAGTATACTTCTGACCCTTCCTCCCCTCTATTCCTTCTTTCGTCTGATGTTCCCGGAGTGTCCCTTTTTGAGGGACTGGTTTTGGAGGTTGGAGACGTAGTATGATAGTATCCATGTCCGCTAGAAATAAGATAGGGTTTATTGATGGGTCATGTGTCAAACCTGATGCAAATTCACTTGAGTATAAGCAATAGGATAGATGTATCCTATTGCTTAACATGGTTATATCGTGGCTGACTAGTTTCTTATCTCCTGATATAGCTGAAAGTGTCCAATATTCTGAAACAGCTGAAAGTATTTGGAAACAGTAAAATAGTAGATATGGAAGTGTAAATGGGACCAAAGTGTTTGAGTTAAAGAGAGAACTTGCTTCTACTTACCAAGGTTCTCTAGACATTGCCTCATATTTTAACAAACTTAAGAAGATATGGGATGAAATGGGGGTAATGTGCAGCAGCCATGCAAACTCCTGCATTTGTGTAGCTAAAGAGGGACTTCAAAAGGAGAAAGAAGAGGACAAAGTCCATCAATTTCTTATGGGCCTGAATGAGGTGTATGTGGGTGTTAGAAGCAATTTGCTAATGATGCATCCATTACTATCTCTGGATAATGTCTACAATATTCTTCTCCAAGATGAAAAACAGAGGCAAATTAATCCAACTCTTCCATTTGTCTCTGAGTCAGCCTCATTTAATGTCAATTCTGGTGTAAACAAACCTGTTTAGCCTCAACTCAACATCCAGTTTCAGGGACACCAAAGACAATTCAATCAGAGGGTGAACTTTGATCAATCTAGGGCTAATACCTTTTGTAAATATTGTAAGAAACTTGGGCACTCAATTGATAAATGCTACAAGCTCCATGGCTTTCCTTCCACTTTCAAGGTTGCTAAAGGAAGAAGAACAGCTGCAAATGTGAGCATAGAGTCTGATTCTTCTACTCCTGAACATCTTCTTGGTAGTCAGACATCTCTCCACACTGCTGCTTCTAGTGATCAAGGTTCTTTAGTACCTGGTTTAACTAAACAGCAGTATTCCCAGTTGATTTCATTACTACAGCAAACTCATCTCTCTGATTGTGGGCCTCAACCCAACGTCATGAGTTCTGCCAATTTCGCTGGTACTTTACTACCCAAGAATATCGTTTATAGTTTCAATTCTACTTTGCTGAGTACATCAGATTCTTTGACTTGGATAGTTGATTCTAGTGCATCTGACCATATGACTTCTAATAAAGACTTTCTTATTAATATCACTCCATTACCTATTCCCTTTCTTGTTTCCCTTCCAAATGGGTATAAGGTTAAAGTTACATGCACAGGTTCTTTTGTCTTAACTGAGTCTATCATTCTTCAAAATATTCTTTATCTTCCTTCTTTTAAACATAATCTCATCTCAGTGCATAAACTTACAGAACAATTTGATTGCATAGTTCAGTTTATCAAAATGTCATGCATCATACAGGGCCCTTCTCTGAAGAAGCCTCTGGATCTTGGTAAATTGGATAGTGGATTGTACAAGTTTGTGTGGGAGAAACCTTCTCAACAACAGCCTATCCTATCATGTCTGATTCTAGTTTTTTTCCTTGTTCTGTAAATATATTGTCTTCCACTTGTAATAAAGCTGCTATAAATACAACTGACATTGTTTGGCATCATAGACTTGCTCATGTTCCTTTTGCTAAAATGAAATGCATTCCTGAAATTTCTTCTGTTATTTCATCCACAAAATTATTTTCATGCATCATTTGCCCAATGGCTAGGCAAACTAGGCTACCATTTCATGATAGTTTTATTCGTAGTTCTAAACCTTTTCAACTTATACATGTTGATACTTGGGGGCCATACCACACTCCTACTTACTCTGGTTCCAAATATTTTCTCACAATTGTTGATGATTTTTCTGGAAGTACATGGACTCATTTAATGGGTTCTAAAAGTAATGCTTTTCCTCTTTTGAAAGCTTTTGTCCTAATGATTCAAACTCAGTTTCATGTCACCATCCAGAAAATAAGATCTGACAATGTCTTAGAACTAGGAGCTAGTAAAGCTGCTACTACTTTCTTCTCTGACCAAGGAATTATTCATCAAACTGCCCACACACACCACAACAAAATGGTGTGGTAGAAAGAAAGCATAGAATCCTTCTTGAGGCTTTCAGAGCATTACTCTTTCAATCAAAAGTTCCAATAAGATTCTGGGGTGATTGTTTACTCACAGCTACATACATTGTCAACAGGCTTCCATCTCCTTTATTTCACAACAAATTTCCTTATGAATTGTTGTTTGGAAAAACACCAAGTTACTCTCATTTAAGAACCTTTGGTTGTCTTTGCTATGCTATTGTTCCAATTCCACATAGGGATAAACTAAAACCTAGAGCCATTCCTTGTGTGTTCCTTGGTTATCCTTTTGCTAAGAAAGGTTATAAACTGTATAATCTGAACTCTAGGTAATGCTTTATTTCTAGAGATGTCATTTTTCATGAGCATCACTTTCCCTTTTCTCCTGATTTTTCCTTCCCTGATATCTCTGCATCTTTCCCACCTACCTCCCCACATCCAATAAATTCTCCTGTTTCCTTCTCCTATGATGAGTACCCTCCTGTTTCCTCTTCTCTTCCCTTTGAAGAACCTGCTCCTCATGTCTCTTTACCAATTTCCAGCCAAAGTGAATCTGTTCCTTCTCCTTCTAATTCCACTTCTCCTTCTCCACCTGCTCTATCCTCACCTCCTCCTACTTGTTCATCTCCTACACTTCCTTCTCCTTTCAATCCTAATTTTTCCCCTATTCCTTCTGACTCTTCTCCTTCCTTACCCATCAGAAAGTCTGCTAGATTTCATACCCAACCTTCCTATCTTAAAGATTACATCTATCAACTTCCCACTTCCTTTTTTGTCTCTATTACTCAGCAAGTAGATTTTGAACCTTACACATATTCTCAAGCTGCTCCTATTCCAGCCTAGCAGGATGCCATGACTAAGGAAATTGAGGCTTTAGAGGCTAATCATACTTGGGATATTGTTGAACTACCTGAGGGTAAGAAACCGATTGGGTGCAAGTGGGTTTATAAAATCAAATATAAGGCTAATGGTGATGTGGAACGATACCTAGGCTTGTGATTAGGGGGACACACAGGTTGAGGGGGTTGATTTCAATGAGACGTTTTCTCCTGTGGTAAAACTTTCCATTGTTAAATGTTTAATTGCAGTTGCTGTTAAGAAAAACTAGTCATTGTTTCAACTTGATGTCAATAATGCATTTCTTCATGGTGATTTAGATGAAGAGGTTTATATAAAATTACCCCCCTGGCCTCTCTGTTTCTCCTTCTTCTTCTGTTCCTTTAGTTTGCAAGTTAAAGAAGTCTCTTTATGGTTTGAGACAGGCTTCTAGGCAATGGTATGCCAAGTTGTCTCAAGCTCTTTATTCTAGGGGCTATCATCATTCCCCTAATGACTATTCTTTGTTCATCAAAGGGTTCCTGGTCATTTGGTAATACTAGCAGTATATGTTGATGATATTATTGTTACAGGTAATGATCTGTCTGAAATTTCAGTTCTGAAGCAAATTTTAGACAATGAGTTCAAAATCAAAGATTTAGGTTCTTTGCATTATTTTTTGGGGATTCAAGTTTCTGTTATGCCTTCTGGTCTTCTTTTAAATCAAAAGAAGTTTGTCATTGATCTTCTAAAGGAGTATGATTGTTTGGAAGCTAACTCTGTTGTCAGCCCTTTGGAGTTGAACCAAAAACTCAAAGCTGATGTTGGAATTCTTTTGCCCAATCCTGAAAGGTATAGAAGTCTTATTGGGAAGCTATTGTTTCTCACTCGCACTCGCCCAGATATTTGTTTTGGAGTTCAACATTTAAGTCAATTCTTACACACTCCTAGAGTTCCTGGCAGCTATTCATCTTCTCAGGTATCTCAAGGGCACTATTGATCTTGGGCTTTTTACTCTAACTCTTCTGATTTCTCTGTGAAGGCTTACTCAGACAGTGATTGGGCTGCATGCCCTGATACTCGCAAATCTGTTACTGGCTTTTGCATTTTCCTGAGTGATAGTCTTATAGGTTGGAAATCCAAGAAACAACCTGTGGTGTCATTGTCTTCAGCTGAAGCTGAATATCGCGCACTAAGCAAGGTCGTGACAGAGTTATCTTGGTTATCTAGGCTGTTGGTTGATCTTGATGTCTCTTCTTCTTCTCCAATTTCTGTCTTCTGTGATAATATGGCGGCTATTCATATTGCCAAGAATCCAGTCTTTCATGAACGCACCAAACACATCGAGGTGGACTATCATTTCATCCGAACCACGCTGGCTGAGGGTCTCATTCAACTGTTCCATGTCTCCACTACTAATCAGCTTGCTGACTTATTCACTAAGTCACTGCCTGGAGCTACTCATCAGTTCTTTTCGGGCAAGTTGAAGGTGGTCTCCCCCTCCAACTTAAAGGGGGTGTTGGGCTTTCAGAATATTCAGTATCCGGCCCAAAACAAAAAGCATAGACATGGCCCAATTATTTATCTCTTGATAACATTTAGCATTAGTAGCTCTTTGTAATAGTTAGCCCATTCATATTTTCAGTCCATCGGTTATGTAGTTCTCTAACAGGAGAGTTCTAGAACCCCTAATCCTCCATTAACAAACCTTCAATTTGTTCGATTCTTTCATTGTTAACATTTATTTGTATCCAAAAAGAACATAAGAGGAATACATCTTTCTAGAAAAAGCTGAATATGCAGTATAGAAATGTCAACTCGATCGGTGCATAAAGTATCTCACGTTCATGCAAGGTTGTGTGATGCTTAATCCGTCACGAAAATAACTTTTAACGTTGCTCCAAGACTTAATATATAAGGTAGAAGATCAGCATCTCAAAATCATTACAATGTGTCAATTTCATTGGCAAGTACTACGATACTAAGCTCTTCAATCAAATGTCCCTTTTGGTCACGCTCTCTAGGTCCATGTTACCAAACACAGTACCTCTGAATAGAACCACATGCGATTTTGTGAGTTGTGGCCATGTTCTTTTATCAATACAAGCTGCTTCCAAGCCTTGCATTTTTTGTCCTCAAAACTGTCTACTCTAACATGTGCAAATACTTCTGTCTCATAGATGTTTTTCCTTTTCCTTATACATACTGCAAGAGCTTCTATGTACCAATAGAATTTTTTTTACACTATTAACTCACAATACATGATAATAACATATATTCATCCCGGGGCGGATGTAGAGTATGGAATACGGGTTTTCGGGAACCCAACAACTCTTGCATAAACTCTGTATTTATATTAAAAAATTCACTAAATATTTGTAAATATCTAACTGTGAACCCAATTATTATTGGGTATTAATTTAAAATTACGGTAGGAACCCATAAGCCTCAAATCCTGGATCCGGCTCTGTATTCATCCATAAAAAGTGAATTAATAGTATACTAATTGTGTAAATATCTTTAAGTTGTCACCATATATAGGTAATCTCCATAATCACAAGTCACAGCTACCTCTACACGACAACATTCCAAATTGCACCATAAAATAGGAAGTTAAAAAGATAGAAAACGAAAAGATTATATAATACATGTTTATATATAGAGCTTAAAATTACAAAGTAACGAAGAAATCTATTAGGCAGGAAAGTCAAAAGGCACAGGAAAAACAGAGGAAGAATCAAGCAGATCTTTATGCATATAACCATACTTCCTGAGCACCTGATTATCAGCAAAATTCAATGCCTTCTGCATAGCATCAAAGCAAGTTTCACCAGAATACATCTGATTGTGGTCCCCACTACAAGGCTGACACCCTGTAAAATGTGTGATGAACGGCCTTCTCCAACTGTACCTCCCATACCCAGCATCCTTAAGGTGTTCCTCCCACACCTTACCATAACTCTCACTTACTTTTTCACCATGTCTCCTCCTTAAACTAGGTACCCCTTTCTCTATACCTAAATACTTGTCGGTGATATTATCTAATGTTCCTACAATTTCCACCCAATACCCCTCGAAATAATACTGGCCTTCTACGTAAATTTTATCTCCCCATTTTTCCTTCTCCTTCAACAGTAAATAAGCTAATCCCGATTGATCATCTGATTCTTGAAAAATCTTATCTTTAAACGTGGAACGTAAAATTTCACCCCATTTATCGTATTCCGGCGACTGTGGGCCCATCTTGGACCAAGCTTCCATTAAGTCCATAGACCATTGACAATTCCGAATCAAGAAAACTCCAGCATTGATACTTGTCCAGCTTTTTTGCTCGTAGATTAACTTCTCCCAACCATGCACTACGAAATTATGGGCTTTGTACCGGTCCAATGGAAGCTTGAAGTCCATGTCGGTGAAAGCAGCATCTGAATCGACCCACCAGATCCACTCAGCTTCAGGATGAGCTAACATGGCTGCTTTCACCGCTGGCATTTTTGCCCAGAAAGACCACATCTTAGGTTGAAGTAAAATGTTGTTGTAGAAAATATCGTACCCGTGGATTCTGCAGTAGTCCACTTTGTTCTTGAAGAACCTCAGCAGTAAATGATCGCCGATCGGATTTTTGCACGGCGTCGACTGTGAACCGGAAACCATCAGAACCCGGTTTTCTACTCCGGGAACAAATGAAGGATGCAGCTTCAGCCATTGCCTTCGCTTTTCGTCCCAGTTTTTCACCGGCTTCTCAATAGTGTATCTCACATCCGGGTCGTCATAGAAAGTCGGGTCGGGCGGGTCGTACCGTAAATCAAAACCCGGTGAAGTAGGCTCTCCCGGAGTTTCCAAAGCGGACTTCTTACCAACGGAAGAAGTGAAAAAACTTGGATCAGTATTTGGGCTAGTGCTCATAAACGACCAAAAGGCCCAGACCACTAGTAAAGCCACAATACTTCCACCGGCACATAGAAACCCATCGGAGAATAAAGAAGACACTTTGCTCTTACAGTTTTGCTTGGGCGCCATTGAGGAGTAAGATGCTTGTGTTTGGACTAACTGTGGAATTACCATTTTATGAGAGAGAAAACATACGTTACCCCGCCAAGCTGGCTTTTCGTCAAGTAGCAGAAGAGTTGTCACTATCTACTGGACATTGTACTAGGAGGAGTATCCAGCCTTGGTCCAGTGCTAAAACTTAGAGCAGCAATTTTGGCAGTGACTGAGAAAGTATACTAATTCGGGAAGATAGAAATGAGAAAAGGTGAATTGAGTGACGATAGAAAGTTAGAAATGAAGATGGAAAGAAGTGTCGGTGAAGTGTGTGACTAAAGACAGTGGCAGAAGGAAGTGTTCATCGAATCAGCTCACTTAACTTTCTTTTTTGTGCTCTTTGACTAGGCGTTTGGCACAACTGGTGATTTAATCGGTTTGGTGCGGCATTTAATGGAGGGTTTTTGCTTTCTAGTGCCAAATACAAAAGTACGCAGAGTTGGGGGCCCAAATGTTGGTTTTATATGGTGTTTCTGTTGTTTGTGGTGCTGAAGAGGTGAAGTGATAAACGGGGTGGGACACGTGGAAAATGTACCGACAGTTTAGGCTTTTCCCTTTATTGATTTTCGAGTTTATTAAGTACTGTTTGTATTAATGTGTTTGGGTAATGGAAAGTTGCCGTTTAATCCGAGTAATTGTCGCCTTTTACCGCGAATCAGGTCTATACAACTTTAATTAATAGCATTTTTCCAACCGTAATGATGCTAATAGCCACATCAGAAACCATATTAGGGCCAAAAAGAAAAATCGTGTAAGGTTAGGACATTGGAATGGAGTTTTTTTGGCTTCTTTTACTTCTTTAGTTAACGGTTACTTTGTCTTTTTTCTTTCTTTTTTATGTTATTCATGTTTGACCAAAAAAAGTAATCTTACCTTTTTTATTAAACTAATTAAATAATAGGATGGAGGGTAAATCCTAATTAATGATAATTAATTCTAGATTCGAAATGAATAATATGAATAGAAAAATATAGCTGAGTATAAATGCTGGTAGTGATTATGGCCAGATTTAATAGAATAAAGAGAGATGTATTAAATAACATTAAATGACAATAAAATGTAAATAAAGGAAAAAAATCACCCAATCTTGAGTGAGACGGATCTTCTTTCATTTGATAAAGATGAATGACAGACAAATACAAGAACCTTAGGACCCCTTTTTAGATCTCATGAAAGTCTGGGATTACAGATCCTCTAGTCTCTTTAAAGATGTGTGTTTACCTATTTTCTAGAGAGGGAGAGGGAGAGAGCTCCCCTTTCTTTGGGAAGTCCTCTCTTCCTATTTATAAGGGGTATTCATAGAAAATTCAAAGCAAACAAGCTGTTTCATCACTGTCCGATCTCAACCTTATTGATGACTGTCCGACCTCGACTTGATAGCCTGATTGATGACTGTCCGACCTCGACCTGATTGATGACTATCCGACCTCGACCTTTTATCTCTGCACGCCGAATTTCTCTTATCTGATTTTAACCCATACCATTCACAAGAACGGTAACTTTGTCATTAAACCTAGGTGGTTGTTGAAACCGGATAAAAGCCAACCCTATGTACTTTGGTTTACGAATTGATACGCTGGTTGTTGTATATCGTCTTGCTAAATCCAATAGAGGAACGTGGCAGAAACTAGTACTAATATTTTCCTATTAGTTTAACCCCTAAAACTAACCCCTATCCGTAAACCAAAGGATTCTACCGCGTAACTAGTTTTAATTGTTAATTAAACTACCGATGACACATTAAGGATTAACCAGAGTGACGAGGTTGGGTACATTAGGTAAAGCCAAGTAGGGTGCTAATATGATATACTCTCAAATGTAAATAGTAGATATACTGTATCGTTTAGTTTAGTATCAGGAGAATAAATAAAATGCTGCCAGTTGACCTGAGCGGTTTTGACTTTGATGATTGACAAAGAAATATATGCATGAATCAGGTCCATGGACAATGTACATAGGTGACGGGCAGAATCAAACAAAAGACATGCACGTGAAAGAGATAAGTATAAGTGGTTATATCTGATATTCCCTGAACGAAAATGTTGTATATTTGATAAGGAGCATGACTTCTTACTTGAAGAGAACTCTATCCAAGATAAGGGAAGAGTTAGAAGTTGAAGTTGACTAGAACTCATCCATCAAGGAAGAGTAAAACATTTGAACTCTAGTTAATCTTTATTTATTAACTCTATATATATATCAGTTGTGTTCTCTTTTACAGGTGATGCACATATACTGAAGTTAAGCACGGATTGAGAGCAAAATAGTAAGACATTTTGCGGGCAATTCCTGTGAGATTTAAGAGTGCGATTCTGAAGCTACACGAACCAGATTGAAGAACCAGCTTCATAAAGAGTTTTATGTGTCTTTCTTTATTTCTAGTTCAAAGTGTAGTAGGCATTTTGAGTTGTACCTTTCAGCTTTCTTAGAAGCAAATTGTACTAGGTACCTGAGTTGTATCTTTCAAGTTAGAATTAACTTAAAGTAGTCGCAACAACTTGTGGCGTGTTGTTATAAGGGTTAGAGTTAATCCTTAGGTTTGCAAGAGGTTGTAAACTCGAGTTGTATTGTTCAAATTAGATTTAACTTGAAGCAGTCGCAACAGCTTGTGGCTGGTAGCTATAAGGGTTAGAGTTAATCCTTAGGTTTGCAAGAGGTTGTAAACTCGAGTTGTATTGTTCAAATTAGATTTAACTTGAAGCAGTCGCAACAGCTTGTGGCTGGTAGCTATAAGGGTTAGAGTTAATCCTTAGGTTTGCAAGAGGTTGTAAACTCGAGTTGTATTGTTCAAGTTAGATTTAACTTGAAGCAGTTGTAACAGCTTGTGGCTGGTAGCTATAAGGTTTAGAGTTAATCCTTAGGTTTGCAAGAGTTTGTAAACTTTGTTGTTGGCTCAGAGTAGTAGTGAAGTATTTGGAGAAAATCTTACTGGGTAGTAGGTCATGGTTTATTCACCTTTTGCCGGGTATTTTTCACGTAAAAATCCTTGTGTTCTTTATTTTCTATATTTATTATTCTGCAACTGTAGTCTAAGGAACACGTAAAAGAACCAGGTCCTTCTATAATTTTTACACACGAAAAATTGGACACCACACAAATTACCCCTCTCCCCCTCCTTGTGTGGTATTGAAGTATAAAACATCAATTGGTATCAGAGCGAGTTATCCTTGAAGAGGCTAACATCTTAGAAAAAGATCAAGATGAGTGAACTACTTGAAAACTGTAAAAAGCGATTATTATTATTCTTTGTAAAAGGAGAGGAGAAGAGATCACTTGCAGATGACTGATGGATGCTTCAAATGTGGTAAAAAAAACCACATGATCAAGAACTGTCCTATGTGGAAAGTCGAGTGGAAAAAGGAGAAATCTAAAAGAAGGAACAGAAAGAAGGAACAGGTTCATGATGAGAAGAACTACAACAAAAGGTCATCCAAAGCAATGGTTGCTGCTTGGAAAGATAGTTCAGATGAGCACACTGATGATAATATTGAACGAGCTCACATAGCAATTCGAGAATCTGAAGATGAACATGATGAAGAATATGAGATAAGTTTTCTGGATCTTAAGGATAAAATTAAACTCCTTTCTAAATATAGACTATTAGAATTGTTGCCAACTTTAATTGATGGATCTAAGAATATAAGTTCCAATAAAGAACAGTTGTCAAAAGAGTGTAACTTTTAAAAGCAAAATGCAAAAACCTGGAAATAAACATTTGTAAAACTGAAAAGGAAAATATTGCTTTGAAAAACCAGGTTCATGCACTTGATACATCTATCTTAGAAATTCGATCTGAAAATCTGAAATTAAAATTAGGAACGGGTAAAAAAATAGCTAGTGACACACAACTCTCACTAGAAAAAGGATATAGGAAAGGTAAAAGATGAACTTTATAAAAGGGATGAACTGGTAAGAACCTTGAAGGAGGACTTGACTAAGGTTAAACATGAGTTAGATAGAACATGTAAATGGAACCGGTCCTGTGATGCACTTTCATGGCTACAAGAACACCATAGTAGCAACAAAAGAGGACTTAGCTTTGGAAACTCTGCACCTAAGTGAAATCACAAAAGCAAGTACCTTACACTCCCTAAGAATAAAATTTGCACACAATGTGGTAACATGGGTCATTATAAGAGTGAATGCGCTGCAAAAGAAAAAGCAAGTCCAAAAAACAAAAATTTTGTTCTAGGAAAAAATAGGCTGCCAAGTTGGGCTAAAAAGAATTTGATTCATCCTTTTGCCTATAGAAAAGGACCCAAACTAGTTTGGGTTCCTAAGACTAACCCCTCATTTCCTTTTGCAGGTCCAAGTAAAGGGGAGCAACCAAATATGGTACATGGATAGCGGCTGCTCAAAGCACATGATAGAAAGCAAGAACTAGTTCCTTTCACTTGAGGACCTTAAAGGAGGTAATGTCTCCTTTTTGAAATGGAAAAAAAGGTGAGATCATTGGGGTTGGAAAGGTAGATAAGACTAATTCTCATTCTATTGAGAATGTCTACTTGATAGATGGACTGAAGTACAATCTAATAAGTGTATTACAATTGTGTGATAGAGGTAACATGGTAGCCTTCACCTTGTTTTGTGACTAATCTTACCACTAACAAGATAGTTTTGCAGGAAAAAAGAGTGAACAACATATATGTTGTGGATCTGTCCACACTTTCAGATAATGAACTCACTTGCATAAATGTGTTGGATAATGATCCCCTCCTTTGGCATAAGAGACTTGGACATGCCAGTCTAAGCCAACTCAACAAATTAATTTTACGGAAGATAAAATTTGTGAGGCTTGTGCAAGGGGGAAGCATGTAAGATCCTCTTTTAAAAGCAAGAAAATGGTAAGTACTACCAAGACGATGGAACTGGTCTATATGGATCTTTGTGGACCAATGCGAATATTGAGCAGAGGTGATAAGAGATATGTTATGGTGCTTGTTGATGATTACTCTAGGTTTATTTGGATACTGTTTTTAACATCTAGAGATAAAGCATTTGACATGTTCACTTCATTTGTTAGAAAAACTCAGAAACAACTAGGTAATCAACTTGCATCAATTAGGTCTGATCATGGTACTGAATTTGAGAATGTTAAATTTACTGAATTGTGTGATGAGCATGGTATAGGTCATAACTTTTCTGCCCCTAGGACTCCACATCAATATGGAGTAGTTGAAAGAAAAATAGGACATTAGAGGAAATGGCTAGGACTATGCTACTTGTTAGTAAATTGCCTCATAACTTCTCGGCAGAAGTTGTGAACACTGCTACATCATAAATAGTTGCATGACTAGACCTCTTATTAAGAAGACTCCCTATGAGTTACTTAAAGGGATAAAGCCAAATATATCCCACCTTAGGGCATTTGGATGCAAGTGCTTTGTACAGAATAATAGAAAATATTCCTTAGGTAAGTTTGATCCCATAAGTGATGAGGGAGTATTCTTGGGATATTCTTCATATAGTTAAACTTATAAGATATATAACAAAAAAACTATGTGTGTAGAAGAAAGTGTGCATGTTGTTTTTAAAACTAACAT